TCACGCACATACACACCTCACACGGCACCTACGCGGCTCACGCACGGTGAAACGTCCGTTCGGCGACATTAGTGACCGCGTTGGGAGTGTACCGTGGCCGCGCATTGATGACCGGCGCGCGCACTTGATGCAGCCTGCCCGCACTTAGTTACCCTCTGCCATTACGGTACGGCGCGACGGTTGGAACACCGTCGGCTGCGCTTATGCACTAGTTACCGTTGTGCGCCGCACAGTACTTCGGGCGGTTACGCACTGGATACACAAGCTCCTCAACTCTCACGTCACATACTCCGGCCAGCGCGCCATGCAAGTCATTTGAGCTCCACTTCACATTACACACCACTCCGCACGCCCACGCTCACGCACATTCGCGAGCGTGACCTGTGTGACACCCGCTCCCAGCCAGCGCCTCCGCAAGCTTCGCCACATACACACCCCGGCGCGCACTTGATCACGCCAACTCTCGACCACATACACACCCCGCCGCGCACGTACACCAACCTTGTACCCGTCGGCGCGCAACATGGCCTACGCCGTTGCGGACGTCCCGACGGCGCGCACCGGGGGACCCTCGCGCGCAGTTCACCATGTACACACGGCGGCGAGCATGGTTGTGGATTTTCGTTGGCGGGCACGCTTTGACCCATTCAACGTGCCTCGACGGCACCATACACCACCCACGTGATTGTTTCAAACCCTTCACCTACCGCAGCGCGCAGCTAGTACCCTCGGCGCCCCCCACGTTGCCGGACCGCCCGCCCCACGCACGGATCGACCCACACCACTTGGACGCCAACGCTCACGCACGGACACCACCGCGGCGAGCACTAATTTTACACCGCCCAACCGTCTCACGCCCTTCATACAGCGACGTTTTAAGCGCCCGAATCTTGCTCACTTCTAACAATTAAGCACCACCTATTCTACCGCCATCGTCCAATTAGGACGCATCACACGGGGGGTGACGCACAAATTCAGGCTGCGGCTACACACCGTACAAAGTTTTTAACAAACCAACACTACCGCAAACGAAATCGCATCAGCGGTTCTTCTTATTACAGTTTCCATTTGGAGAGACGCAGCTATGAATAATCACATGTATCATAAATTTTATATTTCATATTATTAATATATAACTTCAATTTAAGTACCACCATACTGCCACGCATCTTATTGATAAACAAGAACATACACATATGCTGACTCCCTGTTCATGTGTAATGTATTTAGCTGCCTATAATGATTATCAAATGACTACTCACGTCCCATCTTCACGCACGTACATACTAACACGACCGAACGCCTCTCAAAGCCATCAACGGCAGAAACACGACTCAACACCCGCCCTGCTGGTCCAACAACTGCTGCGCGGCCGGGAACGCAATACACACCACCCCATTATGGACCCTTCGATATCGGATCACAAGCCACGACGGATTCATCAGACTCACGTTCCGGACCAATCGGAACCGTAGCAGACGCAAAACCCCCAGCAGCGCGCTACCCCAACGGCATCGAGCACGGTGAGCAGCAGCCTGGTGTGCGACCCCGAGCCGCTCACGCTACACCGCACAACTAAACCGCGGTTTGGGCGGGGGCGTGGGTGTGTACGTGCGTGGGTGTGTATGTGCGTGAGCGTTGACGTGGGTGTGTACGTGCGTGGGCGTGGGCGTGGGTGTGTACGTGCGTGGGTGTGTATGTGCGTGAGCGTTGACGTGGGTGTGTACGTGCGTGGGCGTGGGCGTGGGTGTGTACGTGCGTGGGTGTGTATGTGCGTGAGCGTTGGCGTGGGTGTGTATGTGCGTGAGGGTTGGCGTGGGTGTGTATGTGCGTGAGCGTGGGCGTGGGCGTGGGTGTGTACGTGCGTGAGCGTGGGCGTGGGTGTGTATGTGCGTGAGCGTTGGCGTGAGTGTGTATGTGCGTGAGCGTGGGTGTGGGTGTGTATGTGCGTGAGCGTGGTTGTGGGTGTGTACGTGTGTGAGCGTTGGCGTGGGTGTGTACGTGCGTGGGCGTGGGCGTGGGTGTGGGTGTGTATGTGCGTGAGCGTGGGTGTGGGTGTGTATGTGCGTGAGCGTGGTTGTGGGTGTGTACGTGTGTGAGCGTTGGCGTGGGTGTGTACGTGCGTGGGCGTGGGCGTGGGTGTGTATGTGCGTGAGCGTGGGTGTGGGTGTGTATGTGCGTGAGCGAGGGCGTGGGTGTGTACGTGCGTGTGTGTGTACGTGCGTGGGTGTGTATGGCCGTGAGCGTGGGCGTGGGTGTGTACGTGCGTGAGCGTGGGCGTGGGTGTGTACGTGCGTGAGCGTGTGCGTGGGTGTGTATGTGCGTGAGCGTGGGCGTGGATGTGTATGTGTGTGAGCGTGTGCGTGGGTGTGTATGTGCGTGAGCGTGGTTGTGGGTGTGTACGTGCGTGGGTGTGTACGTGCGTGAGCGTGTGCGTGGGTGTGTACGTGCGTGGGTGTGGGCGTGGGTGTGTATGTGCGTGAGCGTGGGCGTGGGTGTGTATGTGCGTGAGCGTGTGCGTGGGTGTAGACGTGCGTGGGTGCATGTGTGTGCGTGAGCGTTGGCGTGGGTGTGTATGTGCGTGAGCGTGTACGTGGGTGTGGACGTGCGTGGGTGCATGTGTGTGCGTAGGTGCGTGTGCATATGTGAGAGAAACACAGAGTGCGTGTGAGTGGGGTTGGGATCTGCGTGTAAACATTGTTGAATATGCATTCTAAAATGTCTGCCGAAAAGATTTTGCAATGTACGAGCGATCTCTGATAGCGCATGCACTTGTTTTATAGCCATCACGAATATGTTTCCATCCGTCTAAGACGTAGCTGTGCTGATCAATAATCATTGCCTAACTCAGGCCCCTCTTGACATTCTCTCACAAAAGATTCTTCTATGTTGCCGTCTTTGGCTCGTTTTCCGCTGCTGTGCCTTTCGCCGTCATTAAATAGAAATATTTCGCTTCGATTTCTATCACGCACATGGGTACAGAGTAATACCTCAGTGGGTCGTTAGCGCATGATCTACAAGTTCATAAACGCATGTGACGGATCTAATGTGCCATAATAATCATAGAGATGTGTCACCTCATCTATCTTTCATCTCACCCTTCTCTCTCTCTTTCTCTCTCTCTCTCTCTCTCTCTCTCTCTTCTCTCTCTCTCTCTCTCTCTCTCTCTCTCCCTCTCTCTCTCTCTCTCTCCTTCTTCTCTTTCTCTCTCTCTTTCTCGCCTTCACTCATTTTTCCTCTCGCTCTCGCACATTATCCATCCGCATATCAATCTGTCATCCATTCATTTATTCATCCACTAACCATCTACCCATCTATCAATCGATCCATCCACCTAACCATTTATCCATAAATCTACCTACCCATCCACCCATCCACCCATCCATTCACATATACATCTATCCATCTATTCATCTATCCATTTATTCGTCTATCCATCTATCCATTTATTCGTCTATCCATCTATCCATCTATCCATTTATTTTATTCGTCCGTCCTTCCATCCATCGATCAATCTATCCATCATCTATCCACCCACCCATCCATCCATTTATCCACCCATGCATTTATTCATCTAGCCAGCCGTCCATCAATCCATTCATTTATCCATTCCCTTCTTCTCTTGCTCGCTCGCTCTCTCTCTCTCTCTCTCTCTCTCTCTCTCTCT